GAAAGTTAGATGTACACTATGGGAAAGAATGGATGGGAAGTAGCTCGCGGAGAAAGGGGTAGTGACTACTATGGATCCTCTAGTTACGGGCAAGGGTACTTAACCCCGAGAGAAAGGAAGAGTTACTTGTATGGATCCGGTCCGTCATCAACCTCCGCAACTTTGTGCCGTCTTTACGGACAGCATGACCATCAGACTTACTCTTGTGCTTATGCAATGCGGTACTAGTCAAGGAACGACACAACCGACTCCCGTTATGTGAACTGCTACACTTGCGGAGCGGCTGGCCATTACGCAACGTCCTGCCCGATAATTATTGCAGAAATGCGAGAATTGGAAATAGGAAATGGAGACAAGCAAAGAGGATTTGGTGGAGAGGAATGGAAACTCTCATCATAATCGCAAGAAGGACCGCAGGTAAGGAGAAAAGGGTACGAGGCGGATGGCATTAAACCATAGCGAAGCAAGTATCTAAAACAGAGAAAGGAAGGCATTCTAAGCCTTAGAGCATTCATGAAAAATTCTTTTAAGGAGAGGTGAATGTTATAACCCCGTAAGTGCCTTAGACCGGCCGGAGTGGCCTTGAGTTTTCTAAGTGTTGGGCTTTGGGGGAAAATGGGCTGGTCTAGACTTTGGTCGAGGAAAATCTCAGCTGTGCCGAGAGAAGGTGAGTTTGGATTGAGAATAGACTTTGGTCAGTCTGCTCGCACCGCGGGTAGGATTGTGCGGTCTGCGGGTCTGTGTTGTTGGACGCGAGTCAAGGGCGGATCAGTCAGGATGCGGGGAAGGATTTTCCCCACTTCAGCAGTGCGCATGGGAGTGCGGGCTAGTGCGCAGTTCAACTCTGCCACATGTTCCCCATGTGTGGGTAGCGTTTGACGTAGTCTGTCGCGTCTGACACAGGCTGCGGGTAACGATTGGCACAGTCCGTTGCGTCTAACACAGTCTGTCGTGTCTGACACGGGCCACGAGTAACGATTAGCATAGTCTATTGCGTTTGACACAGTCTGTCGTTTCTGACACGGGTTGCAGGTAACGTTTGTCGCATCTAACACACGTCTAGGTAGCGTCAAACGACCCGCGCGCGAAGAAGTTACCCGCCATGTGGTAGTCATGCGGCAATTTGACCAAATAAAGGGAATCCGAGATTTTTCTCTATAAATAGAGCTCTAACCCTTAGTTCTTTACCCATTTCCGTTTTTCCTACCCTTGCTCTACCCTTTTCTCTCTAGAATCACTTCTTAGCAAAATTCTTGATTTTTCCCGTTGTCGTGAAAGATTCTCGAGTCGTTTCTCTGGTAAGATCTAATTTCCTTTGATTTTTGCTTAGGTCTGACATATCTGTTCTGTTGAGATCCGTAGATACGATAGTTTATCCTTAGCATCAGGTTCAACGAGTCTTAGGAAGGATCCGTAGCCACCTTAAGTCCTCGTCTCTGCACGCCGATCACTGTCAGTTGGGTCTCGGAGATTGATGAGTCGAAACCCTGCGGGTTGTTGATGTTGCCTTTTTTGTTTGTTGAGCTTGGCTTGTTGAATCTATGCATGCATACTCGTTCATCTTGTTTAGATAGTGTCGTGTTGGCTAGAAACCTCATTTACCTGAATCTTATGCGTAGGTTGATAATAGAGACATGCATTCATTCTCTTGAGCTTGAACATTCGCTTAATGCATAAACGAGCAGGCTGGTCGCGGTGTCGCCTGGCCTATTGAGAATTGTCATATCACTTTAAGTCTAATCTGCTTGATCTTGATATAAAACCATTGCATGTTAATGCTTGAATCTAGCATCGGGATTTCATGTTGCATGCTAAGTTTACTTGATGTTTTTCTGGTTTATGCGATAGATGCTTGTTTTTGTATGTTTACTTGTGAGTTGATAATACGCGGTGACTGCTAGTACTTGTCTCTAGACTGCGCGATAGAATTATGATGATGTGTGCAGTGATAAGTTGCTAGTGAAGTAGGTTGCTAGTGAAGTAGGATTAATGTATTGATGCATGCCGTTGTAGTTGCATGCATAAGTGTCATGTGTTGAGTGGTAGACCGACGTTCCCAAATGGATCATGGTTATCACGAACCGCAAGTGCTGCGGGATAACCATGTAAGCGCAGAGGGCACTAAGGTAGCTCCCTTGGCCGTGGATGCGCGCATGCGCATGAGTTCACTGGTGGGACTGGGAATTTGTGTGCCTATGTGGCTGCAACTTCTACGGGTTGCACAGGAATGGCCGACGGGTCTGCAAGGCCTTGAGATTTGTGGAATTCCGTACTTGCATCATATTGTTCATAGGGTCGTTGTGAGAGTCTTAAGATATCGCGAA